ATTGGTACACGCGGCCGCCATTGTCGACCGATTCAGATGAGTCGCGCGATGCGATCTCCAGAGGACTACACGCTGCTGGCTGCTGGTATACGTCATCAGTATCTGCTTGCAGCTGGTCACCATGCATTCGATGCTATCGAAATACAGATGTACGTGTCACAGCAACATCCGCTGATACAAGTTCCGCTGTTTCTGCAGTACTTGGGCTATTATCAGCGTCAAGCTCTGAGTTGGCAGGTGATACATGACAGCAGTTTACAATCATGGACGCACGTACCCCACTTTGTCGCATACATGCAATATCCACAAAGTGAGCTTACAGCGCGGCGGCCACCCAAGCCAGTGCGACTGGTGCAACCTCGATCGAATCGACACGTCAGCACCGCCGCACAGAAGATGATGGTGAGAGCTGGGTTTCGGTGTGCGTGCCATTACAAGATCAAATCAGATTGCCCTGACTTGCAGATGAAGAGTCAAGAGGAAAACCAGTGCGGCTCAGTACGGCCTCAGTACGGCCCGTAGGAACTGCGCAGCTTGACTTGCCTAGGCCTATCCCTTGAGATGGTCCTTCCTTTGTCATGTAGACGGCTTCTGTTTATATACTCTTGTATATCATGAATCATGCATCATGCATCATGTAAACAACTTAAGCGGCATGAAGCTAAGCATGCAGCTATGCGTTCGTCATGCGTCTGCTGCGTGCGGCATGCGATGCAAGCAACTGTGATTAGCCCGGAGGTCTTGGATCAGACATGGCATCCAACCAGCCGGACCCGCCGGATCAGGTCGACTCTGACCCTCGACAACTTGTCAGCTAAGTGATGACTGGTTAAGTTAGTTATACAGTTATATTATATGGTCGTTGTCATATTTTATTGAGTCAATCTCGTAAAGCCAAGGCATCAGATGCACAACCCTTAGATCCGATCACGGACTTTATTCGGAATTGGAGATTTCCATCAGAATATCGTGTTGACGTGTCTTGACTTGACTCGACTCAATCGATCTGTGTGAAATGCCGCGGTTCAGTGGCGGTTCAGTGCATGCATCATGCATGAAGTGCACATGCCTGGTGGAAGAGTTTGATATGTCATGACCTGCCACATAATTGGTTCCATGAGTGTGATGCAGTGATGCTGGTCCGGTCATGCTGCACTGAATGCTGTTTAGGTGGATAATCCACCGGATAAGCAGATGTGGGCCGAGATCGCCGCGCACTGGGACGATTCGGACGATGCCGAGGCACTACTCCCGCCAGACGTGAACCATTGAACCATGCAATACAGCGGTGTAGGTGCAGGTTCAGTTAGACTCATGTACTACACGCTTGATTGCAGCTACATAGTTTAGGAGTTGAGTCTACGAGTTTATGAGTCGAGTCTATGCCAGTCTATGAGCCTGAGGGCCCAAGGGCCCAAGGGCCTCTGAATATGAGTCTACCTTCATCTGCACAGTGTGCGGTCGTAGTATACAACAGTGCAGTGCAGGTGCAGGAACCAGCATCATCGTCATCAGCACCACCACGTATGCATGTGCCTCTGATGGACAATGCCATTGCCGCCTCTGATGTGAATGATGTGGCTGATGATGTGGGTCATGTGGGTGTGCAGTCCGAAGCCTGGATGCATTGCGTCAGTCAATAATACATGAATAACTAATGGATAACTATGAATTGACTATGAATAACTGAATCAATTACGTATGACTCTATGACTCTATGACTCTATGACGTATCACTTGCTGGACCTTATGCCATATCGAAGATCGCCAGTGCTCAGCGACTCATGACTCATGACCAGTGACCTATGACTCACATGACTGCTGAGGCTGGCAACGTTGATCACTTTGAGGACAGAACCGATACCGGCCATGCCTCAGGAGATGCACCACACGTCACTGACGATGGTGTTCTATCTGATGGGCCTGACGGGACTGAAGTTTCAACCCATGCTGCCACCAGTGTTGTGCATACACTTGATGATGCGCACAGTTTCTTGCGTCATTCAGCATCTTCTTCTAGCTAGTAGCAGTCCAATAATGCAACCTACCATGATATGACAGTCGCACCGCCAGTGTCAGTGTCAGTCGGTAGACACTCAGGTTGGCCTGCCTATATGCTTGACCAATATGCCTGTTCCGATACGAGACTGCACGATCGGTCAATGGTCAGAGCTGTGCCTGCAGACAACCATCCGGGCGGAAATGATACAATTTCATTATTGAGATTATTCGCTCGGATGAGCATGACTACTATGTCAACAGCTTTCTCAGGTATTGACACACCAGGAACAGCATGGAATCAGCTGATGGCGGCGCTGTTACAAAGAGTATCTACTGACGACTTGGATGCACACGATCTACCCCATCCAACCATAGGGCAGGACCAGGGTCAGTCATGTCATCATCTACACGCTATTGAGTGGGAAGCACACTCACAACGCGAGCTTCTAGCACATCCGTCATCACCGCGGTGCCTGTTCGGTAATATTGAAGATTTCCTGGTGCCCTCTTTGCGGGATCGCTTGGACGATCTGTTCCAGCAGAACAAGTTAAATTCCGTATTACTGAAAGTGATGACGGAGAGTCCGCACCGGTGCATCGCGACTGGGCGACTCGACCCAACCTGATGTCTCGAGGTCAGTCTGTCAGTGTGAGGTCAGTCGGCTGTCTTCATTTGGCAGTCATTACAGTCACTCACAGACTCACAGGCCGAGACTCACTCACAGGCCGGGAGTTACTGGTCAACTTGTCAACCATGTTGTAACCAAGGTCAGCACATTGTGTACGACATGGTGGAGCTTGTGACGTATCTGACCAAGTGGCTGGCATTCACTGCGCAGGCACTCCCTGCACGGCACACAGCATCATTGGCAAGATGGACCGAGAGCAAGCCAGGTCATTTGCACATTTCATTACTTGGGTCGGTATGCGGAAAGTATTAGCGGAACCTGTGATCGTACAGGAAAATGTGATTTCATGGCCCAGAGAATTGCTACTTCTGCATCTCCCTGAATATGAGTGGACATTCATTGTCCTGAATCCACTGGAGCTGGGTTGGCCCATCAAACGTGACAGACAATGGTGCGTGTCGCATGACTATACTTGAGGTCAGGCTGTCAGTGCAGAGAACATGCTACGTAAGGCCTCACCTTATAAGTTATATAGAGCCTACTAAATACTGCTAAACGCTGACTGCTCTAACGACTCAACGACTCTAACGACGTCGTTGCTATATGTAAGGCTGCAAGATTTTTTTTTACGTCATCCAAGGGGACGCCACAGAGTCAAAACTATGTTCTTCCGGAGTCCGGTGAATATCTTTACAGCGCTCTTCCACAGAACCCTGGCTCCGTCAGCCAGCTGGACAATGTTCTTTTGGGAGTGCCTGGACTGCACCCGCAACAATTACAATACTGACCGAGTGAAGTTATGTACAGCAGACTAACTCCTGCTTGTAACTCCATATGCACTGCACTGATATCTCGCAGCGCTTGAGCCCGAGTGAAAGGCCCGATTTCTTAGTTTGGTAGCGGAGCTTGCTCCGTGTAAAGCCAAGCGACCCAGGGGCTACCGAGAGCGCCATAGCTCTGCGCTGCCTGCGGCGGCGCCTCTTCGCTAACACTATTTTCAGAACGTCGCTGACGTCGCCGATTACCTGTATAGTGGTTTGGTTGCTCCTGTGGAAGACGGGCATCGCTGTGCCCAGCAACCAGCAATTCGAAGCTGCATCTGGAGCAGCAGGAGTTCTCTCCCACGAGCAATACGAGCACCACGACCCAGAGCTCTACGTGAGCCACATCAAAGACCTCTTTCTCCTTGAGTTTTTCAATTACCAGTTTTTCCTGACTGACAAGGCAACGAGCGAGGACTACTTGAACACGCCGGCGGAAGGAAGCAACTTCAGTGGAGACAGCAGCTGCTTGGTTGGCTACCTCGACAAGATCCATGTGGGCCACGGCGATGTTCTTGATGATGGCCACTTCAGCGTCGGCGACCGACACAAGCACCACCTCAACGGAATCGTCGACATGGAGCGCTTGGGAGGACTGGAAATGGTTCTTCACTATGATCACGATCATTGTCGCGACAGAGCGGATACTATGTCAATCCGCAAGACTGTGGTGGAGACACGTCACAGGAACTACGACGACTTCTACCTCTTCCAGGCCTGAGACCTCTACTACAAGCATGGACGTGGATGACGACGAGAACGAGAACGGCAACATGGACGTGGACGAGGCCAACATCGGCGACACACCTCTGACCCAGGAGATGATTCAATTTGCTGAGCTGGTTCATGAAGTGGAGCAGTACAAGGAGCTCAGCAACGAAAGGTGGGAACAACTGCAGCGCTCTCGTGAACTGTGTGACAATCGATTTCGCACGATTGAGCAGCTCACAAGACAGCTCCAGAATGAGCGAGCTAGACGCGCCGCTCCCAATGAAGTGTTCGTGACACCCGCGGGCAGAGTTTTTCATAGCAGTCGTGACTGTGGTCACATTCGTAACAACGGCAATGTGAGGGCTATCCGACCATGCCGCGACTGCAGTGGATGATTGCCGAAGTCAGGAACGATGAGCGGAGTGAAGTTATGTACAGCAGACTAACTCAGACTAACTCCTGCTTGTAACTCCATATGCACTGACTGATATCTCGCAGCGCTTGAGCCCGAGTGAAAGGCCCGATTTCTTAGTGACCGGCTGACTGAGTTGCATTGAATAAGTATATGCTTGCATATGCAAGATTATTTTTGTTTTGTTTCGTGTCTGTCCGTGTCTGTGTGTGTAAGTAAGTGTCTGCCTGAGAAGTTCCGCTATGGATGTGCCTGAGGACCGACCCGGCCGCACTACAGGCGGAAGTCAGATGGGCATCAACGAGGCCAACAAGCAAATGGAAGAGTTCGGCGACAACTCAGCCTCCCGATGCGGATGCAGACGAAGCTGCATTTTTCAAGGTGCTGACACATGGCGAAACAAACTTCCTGGAAGGATACAGACGTATGGACCCGTCTGGATTGTTCTCGCTGAACCAAGATCCCCTTGTGACATGCATGATCTCCACTGACCAGGCTCGGCATCAACAGAGGGACAGAGGGTTTTCTTGTACGTCAATTGTAGACGGTTACATCATCCCATCACCGCACCTGGTAACTTGGTAACGGCGGTGGCGGTAACGGGTAACGGTCCGGTAATGTAACGCCTGTGCCTGTATCTGACTCTACCTGCCTGTATCTACAACTATATAATCTATATAAGTGTCAGTCAGTGCTGATGCGATAATCCGTGACAGTATGTAGCCGTCGCGGTGACAGGCCATGCCAACACTGATTGGATCGTGCAACATCTGGTACAGTGCACAGCATGAACGCTGGCTTACGCAAGATGAGCTGCTGGTCGTGCAAGGATTCCCAGTCCGTACCCGATGGAGTTTCGGATATCCCTGCTGCTCATTTGCTCAGCGCAGAGTTGATGATCAAGACGAGTATGTTCGACTCCTCACTATTAAGCCATCGCATGCATCCCTTTGCAAGATGGCGGGCAATGCAATGCATTGTAACGTGGTGGGTGCCGTTTTGCTCTTTGCTGTGACGCAGGTGGAGCTGAACAAGTCTCTGGCATCTCTGATGATGCGTGAGCGAAGGGGACGGAGCCACTACCATCACCAGGCACGTCAGGACCGGCATGAACAACATGTGAGGCCTCTGAAGTTGCCGAGACTGCATGTGCGGTGAGATAGCCATCACAGACAGGGGCCATCACATGTCACACTCATCACACTACCGGAACGTCCGATCAGCAGATGGCAAGACAAGTAGATTCAAGTAGAGTAGTTGCACATCGAACGGGGTGCGACCATTGGTGCGAGAGTGAGGCAATTCTTAGTATCAGTATCACTTGTAACTGTAACTTGTAACTTGTAATTCAGTAGTTCAGTAGTTCAGTCAAGTCAGTCAATCCAGTCTGAGTGATGGCCTGATGAATCATAGCATCATAGCAGGTATGGTATGGTATAGATTATGGAAGCCATGTTATCATGTTATGGTACTGTTATGAGACTGTTATGATGGTTCCCCGGTTCCAGTCATACTCACGGCGGACTTGTCAGAGTTGTCATCATAGAATCATAGACTTATAGACCTCGACTCATCGAAGCACAATCATCTTCCACTTACTTTATCCACATAACGGACACAACACTGCTGTCAACACGGATGATATTATATAACATTGTGAAATGCTTTGTCACGGGTCATAGACTCATAGACTTATAGACTATAGAGTCCTATAGAGTCATTGAGTCATAGAGTCGCTGAGGCTATCTTGCCCTAGACGCTTGTGCAACACAATCCGATTCTGTGCAGACTCCGCTTGAGGTCACTTCAAGTTCACCTCAAGTGTGTGTAGTGATGTAGTGCATTGCTGCTAAGCACCGGTGGCGGGTGGCGGCTGCAGGTTGCATACCATTACCGACTGCTAAACAGCTGACATCATCAGGCTGACATCGCAACGGTACTGCCACCATGCTGCAGCAGAGTGGTTCCATGAGAAGCCCCGGCCCGCTCGGCTTGGTTGCCGGCACATCCGCATCAGTCGTGAACATTGGGTCCAATGTGTGCAAAGTGAACAATGCGATCAGCAGACTAGTGACTAGTAGATTAGTTGAACATCGAGCATGGTGAATGGTGACCGGTGACCAGCATGGTGCGAGCGTGAGGCGTGCGGCAATTATTCGTATAGTTTATAGTTCAATATTTCAGTAGTTAGTAGTTCAGTGAATTCAGCCTGATTGATGGCCTGATGGCAGGTATATGGAAGCAACGTTATCATGTTATCATGTTATGGTACTGTTATGGTTCCCTGGTTCCAGTCATAATCGCGGCGGACTTGTCAGAGTTGTCATCATAGAATAGAATCATCGAATCATCATCATCTTCTACTTTTATCCACATAACGGACGCGATACGGATGACGGATAACGGATAACGGATGATATTACATTATGTGAATTATGTGACATTGTGAAATGTTTTCACACCGGTCATTGAATCATTGAGGCTATCTTGCAGTAGACGCTTGTGCAACACAAGCCTACTCTGTGCAGACTCCGATTGAGGTCACCTCGAGTTCACTTCAAGTGAGCCTCAAGTGTGTGACTGTGTGTAGTGTATTGCCGCCGCTAATCACTGGTGGCGGGTGGCGGCTGCAGGTTGCATACCATTACCGACTGCTGAACAGCCTGAACAGCCTGATCTCACACCAATGTGATCGGTGCGAAACATGCTGTGTGGTGCGGGGTCTGGCAGCTCAGGTCAAGTCGTGCATTGCGTCATGTCTCATGTCTGCTGTCGGTGCATACAGTCCACTACTGCATCTACACAGTCTCCAGATGTCTCCAGTCTCCAGTCAACACAGTCAACACAGAACTGTGCAGCCTATGTACCAGGGAGCTGTCTTGTATGCCATGCAACAGCGTCCGACATGCCTGGCCTTCTGTATTGAATTGACTCGGCTCCATGGTGCAGTGTCTCCCACTGTCACCCACAGTGCGTGCGTAGTGCAGAGTGTACAGTGTACAAGTGACAAATTCGAATTCGGCACTGATATCCGATATCCGGATATCCGGAAACATCACCCGTCGGCCGAGTACTACCACCATGCTGCAGCAGAGTGGTTCCATGAGAAACACCGGCACGCTCGGCTTTGCTGTCGGCACATCCGCATCAGTCGTGAACAAAGGACCAGCCAATGGCAATGGATCCAATGGGAATGGCTCAGCTACAGCGTCCTCCGCGAAAATAACGGTCAACCGCGCAAATGTCTACGAGTACGATGCCTCCCTACCAGATATCTTTGGGTCGAACATCCGGCCCGGTCGTGAACTGTTAGATATCATCATGTCTACATACCGTGCAGCTCGGTGGCATTATATTAGACTCAATGATAGACCATAATGATCATCATGATAATATGCTAGGGTGTACAAGTTCGGTTGACGGGCCGGTGTGGCATGACCACGTGCTGCATGGCATGCCAAGGTGCCAGGCGGGAACACAACACTTGATTTCTTCCAGCCGAATGGTGGACGTAGCATTGTTCGCCACAGTCTCAACGACCGGGCACAGCATACTGTACTTGCGACCTACAAGAAATCAGTGGCCGAGCGGGGCATCGTCCGGGGTGTGCGCGGACAAGCATGGCTCCAACAGCCAGATGTGGAATCCGGTGAAACTTCGTACAAAGCCTTGACCTTCGCCACACTGCCAGGTTCTCAGGTTCTCAGGATCTCGTCTTCAGCTCATGTCATTCATGCCTGGTGATCCATGCCATATAAGTTCGCACGTCTCGTAAGCTCGCACCTTGCGTGCTGATGTGCTTTCGACCAACGGCCCACTGCCCAGGGCAGGCCATGTGAACTGTGCATAACAGTATTCATAATTTCATAACTGTGCATTGCTATGCATAACTGACATCTGACATTCATACTGACATGCCAGATTCATACCACCCTTGTACCGTCACGTCACCGTCACCGTGACGTCACCAGTCACAACAGTTATCGTGTTGACAACCGAGGTCAGAAGCGTTCTACGAGGTGTGGGATGAATATGAGCAGCGTCAACGCCATGGCGACACGAGGCCCAATGCCAATCTGACCAACACGAAGGAGGCAGGCCTCGAAGCCGTCATATTTGACGTTCGATGCCCCAAGTCGGTGTTGCTGTTCTTGTGACTGGTCTGCACCAAGCTGACCAAGATGTTTGAATGTCAATATTTTTGTTTTAAGTGCTGTACTGAGGCTGTACTGTACTGTACTGAGTTTCCGATTTAATCACTGGTTGACAATTGAGACAATTGAGCTAACTACACTATATGTATGACACTGCATGACTGCATGATTCAACACACGACAACTGAACAAGTTCAGGATTTCTTATCACAATTCCTTCCATGCTGGCAGCAAGACATCATTCATCGAGCTCATCTCCAAGATTCCAGCAGTGGAACATGAATGGAATGCATTCAAGTATGCACAGGGAATAACACATCGGGACAAGGACTATGAGACACGATATTTTGCGATGATCACAAAGTCATTCCCAGAGATGTGGCCGTCGATGAGGAGCTTCGAATCCAGTCGAGCAGTCTACAACTTGCTTGGCAAATTTGGTGTGTTCGACAGACTGAAACACGAGCTAGGCAAGTCATGTGACTTCTTGCACACCGAGCTCCATAACGAGACAGTGATACAGCTGATGAGAGACATCCTGAACATGGTGAACGCACACTTCGCCAACGTCCTCAGTGCTGCTGAGCTACAAGCACTGGTTATGGAGCTGTTGCTGCTATGCGTGCCTTGTCTACGGAGCAGCTTAGAGAAGCTTAGACGACAAACGTGTAGTGAAAGTGTCGTGCAGTGCAGTCGAGTCGTGACGTGACGTGACGTGTGTAACCGTGATAATTTCGTGATAATGATAATGATGATAAACCTGACTCATGAGAGCCATGACTCATGACTCATGACGCATGCCGAATCATGAATCATGACCCGGTATGACGGGTCAGCTGATTGTCAAATTGTCAGCCGTGACCGTGTCAGTCAGCCGTGTCAGGTGCCGATGACTGGAAGTAAGCAAGATGACTGTGGTGGGTGGCTATTGAAGAAGACAAGCCAGTCTGCCGATCTCATGATCCTGCTGCATGGTATGGGAGCCGGTCTGGTCATCGGTGGGGCAGATGCGAATGCAAAGGCAAAGGCAAAGGCAAGTGCGACAGCAAAGGGCAAAAGCGCTAAAGCCAAAGCCAAAAAGGAATCCAATGTATCAAAGTCGAAAAAGGCAGGGGCCAAGGCTGCGACAAAGGCAGCTGCAGCGGCCGGAGTTGACGCAGACAGCACTGTCACCGCGGACAATGTCCAGCAGTCATCGTTGAGAGTGCTGCCGGAGATGGACACAGAGGTACACGATTCGGATGTGAAGGTGGCGATCGATGGGGAAACAGTGTCACGGCCTAAGTTCTTCGTGGACTGCCTGTTGGGTGGGATCAGAGCTGCGCTACTATCGGCTCGAAGCAAATTCGGCATTCCCGAGGATCAGGCGTATTTCGAGCCGCTGTCTGTTATCGCTGTTCGCGAGTCAGAAGAGGTCATGTACTATGTGTTTGAACTGGCCATATTGCAGCGTTGCATTCGCATGGGGATTCTGTTTGCAGTACAGAAGCAGTTCACTATCGATAACAAGCTCATCAAGAGGTGGTCAGCCCTACGGCCACTCATCCAGCAAGTGGCAATGAGTGCATATCGTGACGTTGTACGTTCACCAAAAGTTGTTGTTGCCAGCAGTGATGATGCTGCCGCCTCCGTGCAGGCCGTACTCTTGGAGCTGGACAACACATACAGTTCCGCACGTGCACCGGGTACAAACTCGCAATGCAAACTGGAGGACTTGTACCCGATATTCCGAACATGGCACCAATCGGAGTCCCAGTACATGAACCACAGCCCTCTCAGCACGGCGGCAGAGCTTGACCCGCTCAATCCCATCATCACACGCCATGCAGGTTTTGCTCGTATGGTGGCAGCCTTCACGGGGAAATGCTCATGTGGACCAACAAGGCCAGATTTGGGTATATTCGGCATTCGACAGTCGTTATTCAAGTTATTCGGGTATTTGCTACACGTGTCATCGAGTCGTTTATACATCGCAGATTCGTGGGACCAGTAGGAGTTAGTTAG